AGAGAGAGAGAGAGAGAGAGAGAATGAGGGAGAGAGAGAGAAAGAGAGAGAGAGAGAGAGAGAGAGAGAGAGAGAGAGAGAGAGAGAGAGAGAGAGAGAGGGGGGGGGGGGGGGAGAGAGAGAGAGAGAGAGAGAGGGGGGGGAGAGAGAGAGAGAGAGAGAGAGAGAGAGAGAGAGAGAGAGAGAGAGAGAGAGAGAGAGAGAGAGAGAGAGAGAGAGAGAGAGAAGAGAGAGAGAGAGAGAGGGAGAGAGAAAAAGAGAGAGAGAGAAATATATATATATATATATATATATATATATATATATATATATATATATATATATATATATATATATATATATATATAGAGAGAGAGAGAGAGAGAGAGAGAGAGAGAGAGAGAGAGAGAGATTCTAACAAAATTCCACACATCTCTACGAAATGTCGCAGATCCACAATTCTTCCAGAGACCCTTTCACCAAGATCCCATGACATAATACAAACCAAAATAATAAAAAAGAAATTACAGATCACTCACAAGACCAATATCACCAGTATACGCACGAAATACAACCAAAATAATTATAAAGTAAAACCTCCCCAAACAAAATAACTATAAAGTACAAACTCCCCAAACAGTGCCGGATCCAGTCCCGGACGTAAACAAACCATGGCAGACGAACCCGAGGCCGGAGGAGCCAGCAATGGTAACTCAAAAACTCAAAAAACAGATGATGATAAATTCAGATATACAGGTAAGTGACTATGCGAATTTTTTGAAGAAATGTTATCGATATATTGAGAATAGGAACCCTTGTTATATGTGATATGATCAGATTTTTATCAGAATACTAATGCTCGGGAGTTGCTGTAAGTAAGAGCAAAAAAGTCGTATTTATCAAGCTTTATAAATATCTAAGTACACTCTGCCTGTCTACGTGTGTTTTGCGCATTCAAGCCAACATGAGAGGAGCATAAAAAGGAGTGAGTTTGTGATGAAATTTCCGATAAAGTTAATTCCCATTAATTAGTTGATTGTTATTATTCCTCTCATTATATCTCGCTCCCGTAATTTATTCAAGGTCTTTAAGCGATTTATTCCGGACAGTATGTAGTATAAGGTAGTGGCAGAGTTGGGTAATAAAACCTGCATGAAATGATAGAACAATACAAACCAAGACAAAGTTCTTCTGTAGCAATATGTGTGCAAATGCTTCCCAAGGCATTCTCTCTCTCTCTCTCTATATATATATATATATAAAAGAAAAGAGCAGATCCCCCCCCCCCCGGTCATTATGTAGAAGAGGGTAGTGGGTTACTTTCGAAACAATTTTGATATTTTTCTGCATGAAATCCACTGCTTTCAACAATTCTAGGCATTGTTCCTTGTACAAATGAATCATTGGGGAGATATGATCACCATCTCCATTCTTGAATTGATAGTCCTGATAGCAGGGGAGGGCATGAAGTATATCAGGGAAATCATGGGGTAAAACATGACCCCCGTTGTTGTTAAAACATCCTAACCCAACATCCAACCTAACCTAACACCGTGGTATATATTCCCAAGCCTGGACACCCATGGTAATATATATGCCTAGCACCCTTAGGAAGCATTTGCAAACATATTGTCATAGAAGAGCTTTGTCTTGGTTTGTGTTGTTCTATCATTTCATGTAGGTTTTATTACCCAACTCTGCCACTACCTTATACTACATATTGTCCCATATTTCCTTCGGTGAAATTACCTCTCTCTTCGTATTCTCACTTGCTTTTCTCCTTCTATGTTGTATCCCATATATCCCATATGAGATTTTTAGTTGGATATGAATGAATCTTCAGCCTGGAAATTGTGGCATACATATTGGAGATATGTTCCTCAAAAAATTTTTAACATTTGTGTGATCAGTGATAATTTACAGATGATTAGCTGATTGTCACGAGCCAATGTCAAATAATTGTGGTCACCAACTAGGTAATTGTCAGATGATTAACATCACTTGCCTGTAGAGCTGTTATCAATTTGTCAGGAGCATCTCTGCCTTGAAAAAAAAAAAAAAAAAAAAAAAAAAAAAAAAAAAAAAATGTAGTACATATTAATATACTTCAGATTGGTTAGAAGGAAGATCAAGAAGCATGTTGGTATTTAACTACAGCAATTTTTGGAGTTTGTGTGATGAATTATATACAGCAAGGTCTTGTTTTTTGTACAAATCAAAAACTAAACATTTATAATTATGTGCATATATTCAACTGACTAGTACCTTGCTCAGAATATAATTTGCGTACTCATAATTGTTGTTGAAAAGTCGCATACTTGATTGCCTGTAATTCTGGTTTGAAATATCAGGCACACGGTATGTTTTATATCTTAAATTTGTATTTTATTTTAATTTTCAGAACTACTGGTATGCACTACATGAATATTTTGTCTGCTGCCCATAGATTTGTATGTTATAAGTATTTCATTCTTATTTGTTCTCTCAAATTTAAGCTGAATAAATTTCACACCAAAACAGCTGCAGCCTTCCTCACGGGCGTTGCTGGGGCATCCATGCTCGGAGGCTTTGGGATGACATTGGGAATGGCCAAGAAGAAAGACCCACACATGTTTAACAAGGGCATGATGGGAGCACGGGAATTACACGAGGCAGGTGGAGCCTTGGCCATGAGAGCTCTGGGGTGGGGAACCTTCTATGCTGTGACTGGCTTTTCCATCTTCTGCTTCTGTGCATGGAAATTGACGGGTTCGAAGGATGTAAGTTGTATTTTTGTTATAGAATATAAATGTTTATATTCTTTTTATTTCTGCATATTATTATCTATTGATATGTACTCAGTAGTTGTATATTATTGTTTATATATAATTACTCAGTGCTGACACATTCAACTCGATTTGTTTTCCCTCTCTAAAAGCTGCAAGACTTCCGGATGAAGGCAGGAAGTATACTCCCAAGAATACCTAAAAACAATCCCCCTCAAAGTAGGACAGAATTTGAAGGGCTGACCGACCTCCTTCAGTACTTAATCAATGAAGACGAAAGAAAGAAACAGGAGCAAATGAAAACAAAACTAGGTGGACCTGATTAAAATTATTTGCATTTCTGTTTCTGGCCCAATAGTTGTACTATATGTTGTAAACAATATATTTTATTTTATTACTATTGTTTTCTTTTTCATATGAAATTTTATAAATTAATCAAGTATATAAAGACATTTAAAACTTTTTTTGCTTTTGTTTGTGTCTACTTTGTATAAGGGAATGTTTAATCATTTTATTCTTTCAAAAGTCTATGAAAATTGGACATCATTACAACAATTCCATGAATAGAAAACAAGATTTTAGATGTCACGTTGCAAATATATACATGTAGAAAGAGTGAAGCCTTAAAGAATGAGAGAAAGAAATAAAGAAAGGAATACTAGAAAACTACATTACCATTATGCAAATTCTTAATTGTGATGGTATTCTATTAAATAATTACTCAGAATAGATGCACACTGAAGAGATTAGTTACAGAATATTACTAGCTTATACATTGCTTTTAGTCGTTTACACTCATTCAATTAACAGGTATCATTGCCATAAAGATCAAAATTAGAAGTTGGAGTATTTTACTGATGGAAAATGTGTTTTTTTTCATTTAAACTTTTTCAAACGATTAGATATTTATGTTCCAAGGCCTACAGTACAGAAATATGCATATATTATTAATAGTAGTAGTAATTATAGTAATTGTAGTAATACTAGTAGTAGTAATTGCAGTTGTAGTGGTAGAGTAGTTACAGTAGCATTAGTAGTGGTAGTGATACTAGCACTAGTTGTAGCTACTAGTAGCACAACTACTACTACTACTAATCTTAACCCATTTGCCCCAGATTTGTGTTCTGTCCCCTGTAGTTTTTGGTGAATTTTGTTAAATACAGATGGCTCCACATGTGCTCAGCCGACAAGGAGTCTATCAGTAGGCCCTAGTTACCGATCCTGATTTTCCCATTTCATTGAATTGGGGGGGAAATTAATACCATTGCTATCGATACTGTTATTATTGTTATTAATGTTATCATTATTAAATTCTTGTTCTTGATAACTGGCTATTTGGTGATTAAGAACTTGTGGAGCCATCTATGTGTAAATACACTAAATAAACGTGTATCAAAGTGGGCATGGCATCTATTCTTGCCACGTGGGGCGAATGTGTTACGACGTATCTTGGGAGATAAGCCACATGAAATGAAAAGGTATAAAAAGGAAACACAAATCTTCCTTTTCAATTTAATTTTTAACAAGAATGTAAAACATGTTTTAGACTGTGAATAAATAAAAAAACAATAAATAATGCATATATACAAAGGCACTAGTATCACAGAGGACACCATTACAGCACTGTAACACTTTCATAGCTAAGCCCAAATACTTGTATCTTAATTTTTTTATACATGCTTTTATGGATAAAAATAATGCCAGTGATTATGGGACTCTATAATTATATGTATGTATGTGTATGTATGTGTATGTGTATGTGTATGTGTATGTGTATGTGTATGTGTATGTGTATGTATATGTATATGTATATGTATATGTATATGTATATGTATATGTATATGTATATGTATATGTATATGTATATGTATATGTATATGTATATGTATATGTATATGTATATGTATATATGTATATATGTATATATGTATATATGTATATGTATATGTATATGTATATATGTATATATGTATATATGTATATGTGTGTGTGTATATATATATATATATATATATATGTGTGTATATATATATATATATATGTGTGTATATATATATATATATGTGTGTGTATATATATATATATATATGTGTGTGTATATATATATATATATATGTGTGTGTATATATATATATATATATGTGTGTGTATATATATATATATATATGTGTGTGTATATATATATATATATATGTGTGTGTGTGTATATATATATATATATATATATATATATATATATATATATATATATATATATATATATAATGACCTCCTCTTTACTTATATATATTTTTTCTTCTTTTAATGGTGCACAATCATGTCTTCATTTTCTTTTTCACTTTTAAATTTCATTACAAATGCATGCACATACACATTGGTTTTCCATTTCACAATATATCTCTGAAAAATGGATCCAATAATGCATTGAAGACAAATACATTTAACAACCATAGCACTAGGAAAGGTTGGCGCACATGGCTGTATGCATGCATGTACCCAAGCATACCTCATAAAAAAGTATAATGCTGTACACAAACAGACCAACTCACACACACACACAAACATGCACCTTGGATATACCAATGGATGTCAAATCGGTTATAGAGATTTTTCACCCTCTGAATCCTCTCACCTTTCTTTCACTCACACATCTCAATGATACAGCCATTTAAAAGTCCTTTCAAAATTAAATGACAAACGGATACACTGCTATAGAATTATATAGGTGCAACACACGGATATAGCTGCTATCAGACAGTAATCTGTTCTGTCCTTCCCAGAATATCTTTACCACAGTGTGATTGATCTAAAATATGAGCATACTGCAAGGATTATAGTAATGGTAACAAATGGTTAAATAAATCCACATTTACTGTGTATAGAGTAGTAATGTAACATTATTTGTCACACAAGAACATATAAACTTGGTGATAGTACAGAAATAACATGAAAATTAACAAGACTTTGTCATAACAGGTCATATCATTACCTTTCAAGTTTATTATTCTCTTCTATTTTAGACAACTGGAATGACTTGGATATAGGCTTATACTATTTATTTTTTTAAATCTTGTTTTCCTTTCCCCCCTCCTCTCATGCTGCAAGATTTTAATACACTTTCCACTGAATGAAAAATATTAATTTGACTGTCCAGATCAACTGTAAGAGAATGCAGCTAATACAGTGGTTTTTTGGAATGTTTTAACACTGACAGTAGTTTCACAAATAAACACTTTTGCTCAGTGATAATCTGAATAATTATGAGATTACTGCAAGTGTAATATGAACACTTGTATAGACACCCATACATATACTTGCAAAGAAACACAGACATGCACACATGCACTCACTCACAGATTCAAACATTCTGCAGATTTTCATTCCCAAACTTAATAGCACAAGACAATACATAAAATTTAGTAGATTTCTGTAAAATCCATTTTACATTTTAAATGAAGTAAATAAATAAATATATCGAATACAAACAACTAAACAATATGAAAACACTTTAGTAAACACTCAATTTCATAATCTACAACCAATTTTGTGGTAATGCAAAATACTTGATTATTAACCCCTTGGTGCCGGGTCACGCCGATAGGTGTGTAAACAAACTGCTCGAAAGCTGGCGTGTAGCCAAATGAGCCGGCGGTGCGCCAGAGCGCGGCGAGCCAGTGATTCGGGTTGACGTCCCGTACTCGCGCGCTCAAAGTCGACGTGCTGCCTTTGTTTGCTAGAGCTAGAGTTTTTTTTTCCCTTTTGTACACACGGCTCCATTGGGTTAACAAAGCAGAGGGATGCTGACAAAAAAAAAAAAAATCTAGCCATAAACTTGTAATTTCCTAACATGAAGGAAGAGAAGAGTCACAATCCTCATGAGAGAGGTCACACTATGTTACTACACTCACTTTAACTAAACTTGTATTTACAATGATATATCAAATAATTGACAATAAACATTATACTTATCTTATTAGAAGAAGGAAAAATGAGTGAGATGGAGGAGAAGGGGAAATTATTAACTATTTTTGAGAGATTCCAAAACACACTCCATACAACTGATATACCAACAAGAATGCTCACTGAATATATTTTTCTACATAAATAATTTGCATTTATACTTAGTGGTACAAAACCTCCAACAGCTGAAATAAAATGCAATATTTGACAAACATACAAGTAATCCCCTGACGCTGGGATAAAATGGATACAAGTCATATCCATTGTGAATCTAATTGATTTAATTTGCACACAGATGGCTCCAGAAAATGCTTGGTCACCGAGGAGTTTATTACTACGCCTACCTCATCTCACCTGTTTACCGTATTCTTTGAATTTTTATTTTTAAAACTATTATAATAATATTAGTACTGATTATAATAATAATAGAAATATATCTTCCTAAAAAAATTCAAGGAATGGGGTAAAGAGGTGAGGCCAGGGAAGCCCAGTGATGGACTCCTTTGTGACTAAGTGCTTGTGAAACTGGGTGTGAAGATGGTTAAAAAAAACTACACTGTATACACCACCTGCCAATGGATTATGACAAAAGCATCCCCTGGTTTCTTAGTGTTGAAAAAAAAAAAAAAAAAAAAAAATTAAGAGACAAATTGCTTCTGATTTCCCATATCTGCAAAAACTATTGAATGCTGTCTTTTGCATTATGAACAATATAATTTTTTTTTCCTAAACTGAAAAACAATAAAAGATGAAGGCTATGGGAAGGAATTCCCTTTATCTTTATTGGTTAGAAAAAAAAAAGAACATTGGTATAAATGCATCTAACCCTGTGACAGTACTTCACGTGACGGCATTATAATAGCTTTAGAAACAGCAGTTGTTTACAGATACATTTGATGAACTTCATGGAGATGAGTCATGTCATTTTGATGCTGTAGCTTTTGGAAATAACCTAATTACCTTGTGTAAGGTTACGTATCTAAAAACTACTTCCCTTTGTTAACCCCCAAAGCTTTTCTCTACTTTATCCTACTCATAAAAAGATGAAAGGAAAGGAATAGCCTAACACGACAGATGTTATAACTATGAGTGCACACTGTCATAATATTTTATGCTGTACGGGTTTGGTTATTACACCAACTGGCTTGTAAATCATTACAGAAAAATTTATTTCATTGATAATTAAAGAATTATTTCTTTAAATTTCGTGTTGCATCTCTAAAGCCCCTGAAAACCCTCCTTACATGTTTTCTTTATAATTTCTAAAAAATACAATGTTGATAAAATTCTGAATTTTGCCATAAACCCCACAAAGGTACAGTTAAAAAGTCAATATAAAAAGGCACCCTACAACTGCATAGTCACTGACATAAAAGTCAATGAAAATTCAAATTTTGTGTCTTTTTGAAATAGTAAGAAGTGGAAGTTACTATTATTCCCAAAATCTATACATAAAAAAATAAAATAAAACACTGGTAATAAGGTTGTAATTAGTACATTATACAGGGAAACATCCATAATCTTTAGCCATGATAGTTATTATGTACCTACTCTCTCTGCATATTCATACTGCATTAACAATACAGTTATGACCACATTTTCCATAAAAATAGATAAAAGAATAAATAAATAAAAAATAGAAAATAAAGATGTTTCCCAACAAAATTAATAAAAATGTATCAAACCACTTGTGCTTTCAATATGAAGCCTACAGGATTCTTACATGCATCACTACTACAAAGTAATGACAGCTTTGCCCTACTGGTCCTTCAAGTCCATTGCATTAATAGTGCTGTAAACACTTCTATGCTTTTGGCTCATCATGGGTTTAGGGGCACCTGGAAAAAAATAATTTGCAAGGTTAGTGGAGTTGCTACAGCTGGAGAGATGCATGAACAATGGGTATTCAATAATTAGAAACAAATATAAGTAGGTATTTTTCATTAGTTTAACCATCTTTTTTCCTTATCATATATATATAAATACGCTTCTAACAATGTTATTAGAATATAAGCATGATGACATAAACAACAGACATAGACACAGACAGAAGAAAAGGAACTAAAAGACAGACTGATATACTGATTGAGAGATCTTACTTTGTCAGGAAGAGGTGCTGCCTTGGTACGTGTCGAGCAGCGCTTTCCACAAAGGAAGTAAAACAGGAGGCCAATCATCATAACGCAGAGAAGACATGTGGTATACAGGATGTGCACCTGAATCAGAGTTACATCACCCTGGAAGTTTCAATTTATGCATTATTATCCTGGTCAAATTAACCATATTTTTTTCCTGTTGCAACAACCAGTAGCAACAGCCATTATCATTACATAAAGAAAAAGTACTCTGGGTTCTCATACAAAGACCAATTGAAAAAATCTGGAAGAGAGTGACTATTTTCTAAAACAACAGGAAGCATTAAATTTACTCTTGTGATGCAAAATACAAAAAAACAAGAAGATGAATACCAAAAAACTACCTCTGTTAGATAAACGTTCAATTCATGCTGAGGAGTGACACTGAGACTTCCCACAGTGCCGTTCATGCACCATTCATCCTCCTCCAGCACTAACCAAGGCTGGGCTAAGAACACCTCATTTGTCTTGGGTTCCTGAAAGTAAAGGAAGACGTAACTGTAATTAATGACATTCCACTCTCATAATCTAAATGAGACAATCTTAATTTTTTATATTGATTTGTTTAGTTGTAAAGCACATTCATTCAGTTTTTCTTGTGAGTATTTTCTTCTCAAACCACATCCTTAAATTAAAATAATCCATCAAAATTACAGAAGAAGATCTCTCTCCCCAGTAAAGAAAACTTTCAGCAAGATGTCAAAGCAATAAAAATAAAGCCCGACCTTTACTGGCGTGCAAGTCGGAGGCGTCTGAGGAGAGTTGGGCAGCAGATGGGCTGGGCCGGAGAGGGTCATGCAAGCAGTCCAGTTTTTGGAGATCTGCCTGGCCAAGTCTATGGTTACTTCCAAGACACTCTTGTCTCCTAGAAGAAAAGTTTATGTGGTTATTAACATTAATTCAATGCTGCAGGGAAAATGCTATGCTCATTTTTTATTTATTTATTCATTCATTTTTTAGTGTGAAATCTCTCTGATTATAGATGGCTCTGCTTGTGCATAGCCACAAAGGAGTCAATTAGTAGACCTTGTGACCTTACTGGATTTCACCTTTCCTTGAGTTGGCTGGAAAAACACTTTTTTTTACTAGTGCTATGAATACTGATGGTGATATTTTTTTTTATAAACATTATAATTACTATAATGTTATAGACATTAGTAACAGGAATATAAGATCATGTGAAATATTTTCCAAAATCAAAAAAAAAAAGGGTAAACAGGCGAGACAGACAGTATTCGTAATTGGCTCACTGGAGACTCAGTACAAGTGTAGCCATCTATGTGTAAAAACAATTAATAAAGTAAACTCACAGTGGGCATGGCATATACCTACATGCCATGCCCATCGGATTTGGGTTAAATTATCTATGAAGATATGTTACTCAAAGATAACACATGATGACCATGCAGACATATGGAAGAAAAGGTATTTCTCATGAAAGGAATTCTTAAATTACTTCCACTCAAGATGCAAAGGCTCTGTCCATGGAACCCCCTTCCTTACTCTTGAATCCAAAGAACTTGGCCCCCACGAAGGAGTGCAAGGTGAGTCCCTCCAGGCTGACACCTTTTCTCTGCACCTGGACATCTGCCAACACACTGATGGTCACATTGGCCTCTGTGTCATTGCCCCGGGCATCGGTTGCCAGAAGCAGAGAATTTGAGGTGGTGGTGGTTGCAAGGCTGGCAGTTGCCAGCTCGCGTCTGGCTCTTGTCCGTAGCACAGCCTCATCAGGGGACTGTGGTGCAGGAAAGCAGACCTCCATGTCTGAGAGTGTTGTAAAGAAACTGTTCCAATCCTGTGAAGAAGAAGAAAAGAAATGGAAAAAAGGAAAACAGTAAGTCATTTGTAATAAAACTGTCAATTTCTACTTCTACGTTACTTTTGCCTCCATTACTTCATAGTTACAGACAAAAAATACAGTTTAAACCAATTGTTGAGAAATACGGATAGTAGTTGCCACCTATCATCTATATAACCTTTGATCCAGATGACATGACAACACATTATGAAAAAATCTGCCATGAGTATGCAAACCTCTCGGAGGGTGATTTGACTCATTTGAGAGGTACAGAAGAGATACAGAAAGAAGAGAGAACATCTCACCTTAATATCTGGATTCAAAATCTGTGTCCTGTGGCTCTGGAAGTAAAGTGAGACTCCGACAAGCGTCAGTGCAAACCCTACTATGGACATGCTGAACACTGCCATCGGAGGCTTGGACCCAAGGCATTCTCGTACGCTGCTGCACATCACCATCACTAATGCAAAGGACCTGAAAAGACAGTTCTGCAATGATGGTGCATTCTCTACTAAACAAATTCACTCTGTGCCAAGGGAATTACCATCGTGCATATATGATTCCCAACATCAATTCTTTCATCAGTAATATGAATGGAGAAAAACTTATAACATAGACAAAAAAATTAATCTCTTGCCTCCCTAATGAGAGAGAGAGAGAGAGAGAGAGAGAGAGAGAGAGAGAGAGAGAGAGAGAGAGAGAGAGAGAGAGAGAGAGAGAGAGAGAGAGAGAGAGAGAGAGAGAATTTGTTAGTGATAGCTCAGTATGCTCAAGATCAATTTCATATCTACTGCAAAATTGTCCAAAACCTATCTAGTACTTCTTCCTTCATCACCCACAAATTTTTTGTGAATTTTCATACAGACAATTTTCTGGTTCAACATATCTTTTGGATTTCTTTTCTTAAAAGGGGTGTGTTTCTGTCCTTGTTTATCCCTAAAAACTCAAGTATTAACCCAACACTTCCAGGTGAAGGAAAAGAAAAAGAAAAAGAAAGAAAAAAAAAAAAAAAAAAAAAAAATCAACACTCCGGAGATTAATGGCAATAAGAAGACTTTGAGAACAGGAGTCTGCTACATTAAGCCGAATGTCCCTCTCCAAGCGCTCTGGTGTGTAGCTGCGGGGTACAGCTATACCCCGCAGACTGAGTGGTTTGTTATGACGCGGTTAGGTGTGGCCCGTCAGTAAGAGATTAAAAAAGAAGAAAGACAATATACTAGACTAATCTTGAAAAGATTTCAAAGAGTTTTTTGTTGTTTAAATTATTATTGGGAAATCAATGATCAAAACTGCATGTAACATGGAATTAGCAAATCTAAAAAAAAAATGAATTTCTTTCTTTTGCAATGTTCATATATTTAGAACAAGAATCTGCAAACCATACTGACAGTATTCTTTCTTGTAATAATATTTTTACACCTTCTGTATGTGCTAATAATCTCACAAACAAATTCAAATTGCTTATATTACTGGAATACAAGAAAATTGCACACAATTTGTCAGATTGTTCCACTAATATCACCCCTCTTGTTTCTGGTGAATAGCTAAAATGTAATTAATTTTTATGGAACTTTATTTTTCCTGTTTACAGATCATTAATGTACTGGTTAATTTCATCTCATTCTTTTGAACTAATCATATATTTAGTAAATATAATTAAACATATCATACAAATTCAGCTTCAAAATGCAACTTGGATAAAAATGAATGAGTGGCCTATACCCTTCGATCCAGGTGATGTGACCATCACGTTGCAATAATCTGGCTTGAACATGTTGTCATGGGAAAATCTGGCTGTAGGCCAGGTGACGCAAACCTGCCATAGCAAGCATCTTGGCTGAAGGCTGGGGTGATGGGAAACATTTGCCGTGAGGTTTATTACACTCATTTGGCAATTTTGCTATATTCCCATCAGTGTTCGGTTGTGGAATGTAATGTCTGTGAGCTGTGACTGGGAGAATGCCGGCTCCATGGAGGAAACTGTTTTCATGCTCAGCATTGTATTCCTGATGCAGTGAACAGTGACAAAAGTTATATTACATAAAATTGATTATGAAAAAAAAAAAAAAAAAAAAACTTTTATTGCACTGAGTTGTATTTAGAGATGATATAGAGTTTGTGCAACGAAAACAAGACTATTACCATCTGGATAATGCAAATAGAATGGCAAATATGGACATTGGAAAATGGCAAAAAAACTGAAAACACATGTCTAAAAAGAGGAAATACCTAAAAAATAAATTTGTTTACTTTGCTTGAATAAGAACATAATATCAGCTGTACTCCTGGAATTTCCTAATCTCAATCACTTCCCTATGTTCTTCAGAACATTAGTACAGTTTGTATGACATCTTTAGCAAGTCTGCCAAAAATAAAGGATGCACAGACTTATTAGGTAAGTTTTAAATCTAGTATTTTATTAATGTACAACTTGCATTTTAGAAAAAGGAAAATACATCCGTGCTAAAAAAAGAGTTATGCTTACTGAAATATTCCCTGTCCTGATTGTCAGATGGAAAAATTTCCTTAGTTTCCGTCATGGTAACAGCTCCACACACACACATTTTTTTTATTTTTACTAAAATTCTTCTCGTCACAGACGGATTTTTTTTTCCTATAAGAGTAACAAACAAGAAGGGATTTTCTCGGGTTCTCCTTACCACCTCCTTCAACATTCCTCGAGTCACATGAGACTTTATCCCACAACCACCTAATTTACATCTCCTTACAACCTAATTACAAATCCCTTTTAATACGTAATTACTAATCCCTTTTAAACCGTAATTACTAATCCCTTTTAATACGTAATTCAACCAAATCTTTACAGCCTTCCACAACATACCTGAAGAGGGGGACCTAACACCTCATATATCCACCGATTTTACGGTATATCTCCAGGAAATACCTCATTTCAACAGACACCATGACACTAACCCGCCGGAAATGTAGGAAACGGGGGGAAATACGGAGCCAGAGGGTAGGAAACGTGTGAAAAGCGAGGAAAATAAGAGGCATAAGATTTTTTCGCGAACCTTTGGAGACGTGGCTCTGTTTACCTCAGCGCCTGCGTCCGAATCCTTTCATCTGTTGTCCAAGGAAGGGGTTTAATAGTTTTCACTTAAGTTCGGTAGGTTCGGTGCATTTTGGTGTGCTGTAATTATTACGTGATCTAGTTTTTTTATGGATGTTATATGGTATTTTTTACCGGATATTTTTATTTGTGGGTAAAACAGTATTTAGATTCTGCCTCAGGGGAATCCGTTAATATTAATGTTTAAGTGAATCTTTTAAGAGAAAAAGAGTCTAGACAGGATAAATCATTAAAAAAAAAATCCAAGAGAGGTAATAATGTAGATTTCAAAACTTTATAAATTAAATCCAAGAAGTATAGAAATCGGACAAAGTGTTGTTATAGATGACATTCACAATCGAACAAAATTTTTAAAAAATCATACCATATAAAAACCCCCAAGAAACTCCACCAAAAACCAACACTCCTTCAGAAAATAACCTCTATTCATCAAATACCCACTCACCACCAACATTAATCCCAGACATAAACCAAAAATAAAAAACAAGAAAAATCCCCCCACACAAAACTCACCAACAAACGCTCCTCCTCAGTCTGTGGAAAGGCTGTCAAAAATTTACACGAGAAACGCAACCTCCAAAATCCTCTCTTTAAATCCATCAAATTACTGCTGTGACTGCGATATCTTGCTTTGATAGAGGTAACCGTGTATATGTAGGTCATCGTCGATCTCGGAAATGTTAATAGAATGTTGACATCGTCCGTGGATATAGTAAAATAGCGGTTGTGTAGGGAAGAGCTTAGTACGTGTTCAGAGAGTGAGGAGAATTATGTCTTCTTCTTTCTTCTTTTAAAGGGTTTTAGACTATAAGAGAATTATTTTCTTTGTTATTATTGTGTTTGTTGTCGATAACCTCAACAAGGATTTCATTTTACGGGACATAAACCATCGCGTTCAGGAATGTGGAGTGTGGCTTGAGTGTTGAGTGACTGTAGAATTATTATTAAATTCTTGTTATAATCTCTGTGCCTCTATATTTTATAGAGCCACAGAGATTATAATTGGAAAACTTTCCGGCGTGGCTAACCCGGTTTGTTTAAGTAATTGTGATTGTGATAATCTCCATATAACACACTAGTTGTAGTTGTGGTGGTGGTAGTAGTAGTAGTAGCAGTAGGAGTAGTAGTAGTAGTAGGAGTGGTAGTAATAGTAGTAGTAGGAGTGGTAGTAGTAGTAGTAGTAGTAGGAGTGGTAGTAGTAGTAGTAGTAGGAGTGGTAGTAGTAGTAGTAGCAGTAGGAGTAGTAGTAGTAGTAGGAGTGGTAGTAAT